AAAAAAAAACGGAATGATTTAACATGCATTTAAACGCTAGAACTGTTGAATTCATGGGCGTGTTAACGTCAACTATTTGGTGCTCTGTACACGTCAGTAAAATTTGTCCAAGAAAACATCTAAAACTTGATATTTTGGATCGTTAAAACGCACATCAGAAGAAATGAGCGTTTACACACTATTAACGTAATCACTTCGAGCGTTTATGAGGCCAGATATAATAGCAAGAGAATATTTGCCCGTTTTCACGCTTTGAAAAACAGAGTTGCCGGCGTGTACACGGCCACTTTGAAAAAAACGCCGTAAAACGCTAAAAAATGCTGATTTCATGGTGTTTAAACACGTTTTCCCAAAATCTTGTCTGACTGGGCACACCCCACACCCCACACCCACCCACACCCACCCACACCCACACCCGCTCATTTTTTAGACTCTTGTTTCTATCATTCTTATTAGCATGGTTAAATACCATTTTCTTCATTTACTTTTTACTCCAACTATTTCCATCATAACCCCTGTTGCAAAAGTCTTTAGACAAAATGTTTATTCATTTTTCAGTCGCCTAAACGTCATTAATGAGAATCAAAAGCAGTTAGCTAAAATTAGATTTTTGTGCTCTTTCCGAATATCTGATCAGAATATTTCTCTGACTTAACATTGATTAGAAATGGGCCAAATGTTTGACAGAGTGAAAAATGGTGTCTGTACAAAAAGCCATTCTGCAAATGTTTGTTCATCTTTCAGCCGCTAAAAGTATTTGATACAAACCAAAAGTAGCTCTTTATAGTCAGTCTTATCTGCTCTTCTCTGATATGTGTTCAGAATATCTCTTTGGCTTAAGATTGGTTAGCTGTAAGCTAATACTTAAAAGAAGCGAAGAATGACATCTCGACGAAGAAAACACATGTTTTCCCGCTATTCGTTACTTATGTAAGTTGGATTTTGAAGCAGTTCGAAATTGGCAATTTGTAGAGCATTCAATTCTCTATAAAACTATGTATGACAATAGGTTTCAACTCAAATGAATAAAAGATTGTAGACGTTTTTCTGAGAACTGATTGGTACGTAAAATAAAATCCTGCCAAAAAGTCAGTTTTCCAAGATCTTCTATTTATAATACAACAGATTGCATGCATTTGTTTCGAGATGGAAAACCAAACTGAATAGCATAGTTTGTAGAGCAAACTTCACTCTATAAGATTGGTTGATGAAAATATCTTTCATGTTTCGCGTAGAGTAGATATCGATCAAAACACAAAAATACATCCAATAAAGTTCTGCACAAACATCATTTTCGACTCTGTCCAACGTTTGGCTTATCCTTAATCAATATTGAGTCAGTGAAATATTCTGATCA